GAGGTCCAGCTGCTCCGCATACTCACCAGCACTTGCTATTATCAGTGATTTTCCTTAGCCGATCTCATGGGTTCATAACAGCGTCTCATTTTGGTTTTAATTTGAATTTCTCTAATGACTAACGATGTGGAGCATCTTCTCAAGTGCTCATTGCCATCTGTATAGCTTCTGTGGTGAAGCATCAGTTCAAATCTTTCATCTATTGAAAAAGTGGGTGAGTTGTTTTCTTACCATTGCATTGTAAAATTTAATATATTCTGGATACTCCTTTATCAGGTGCGTGTTTTGCAAATATTGTCCCTCAGTATGTAGCTTACCCTTTTATAATAGCATCTTTTGGGGAGCAGGATTTTTAAATTAACAGTAAAATTTTATCCACTTTGTCAGTTCACGCTTTTGCTGAGAAATCTTTAACTAACCCAAGGTCACAGAGGTTTTTCTCCTCGAAGTTTTATAGTTTTAGGTCTGTAATCGATTTTGAGTTCATTTTTGTATAGATAGTAGTGTTAGAATCAAAGCTATTTGTTTACTTTATTCTCCATTGAATTATCTTGGCCCCTTTGTTGCAAATCAATTGACCGTATATGCGTGGGTCTTTTTCTGGGCTTTCTATTCTGCCAAGTCCATCTATGTATCTGTCTCGTCACCAACACCATACTGTTTTGATTATTGTAGCTTGATACTAAATCTTGAAATCAGGTAATGTAAGTCTTCCAACTTTGTTTTCCCTTTTCAAAATTACTTTAGTTATTCTTATTCTTTGGATTTTCAATATAAATTTTGGAATCTGATTGTCGATTCTTCCAAACAATCTGCTGTGGGTTCGTTTGGGGTTGTGTTGAATCTACAGATCAGTCTGAGGCAACTGGCATCTTAATGGTATTGCATCTTCTGATCCATGAACATTGTATAGCTCTTAATTTAGTTAGGTCTCCTTTGACTTCTGTCAAAGATGTTTATGGTTTTCAGTATACAGATCTTGCACATATTTTTGTTAGATGTATTCCCATACAATATACTGTTGTATATGATACTATTTAAAATTTTTTAAAAATTTCTAATTGCTTATTGCTAGTGTACAGAAACGCTGCTGATGCTTTTTTGTATACCGATCAAATATTCTATGACTGCTAAACTCATTTAATTCTAGTATAATTTTTGCAGATTCTTTGGGATTGTCTAGGTATACTGTCATGCTGTCAGTAGAGACAATTTTATTTTAGTTTCCAATTTGCACTTTTTTATTGTAGTAAAATCCACATAAAATAAAATTGACCATTTTACCCTTTTGCAGTGTATAATTCAGTGGCATTTAGTATATTCCCAATGTTGTAAAATCACCCACTATCAAGTTCCAGAAGTTTTCATCACTCCACACGGTAATCTAGTATCCGTTAAGAGCTCACTTCTCATTCTCTTTCCCGCCCCCTCTCCTGGCATTCTGCTCTCTATCTGTATGGATTTGCCAGTCCTGGATATTTTATATAATTGGGATCATAAAACGTGGTCTTTTGTGTCTGACATCTTTCACTTAGCGCAGTGTTTTCAAGGCTCACCCAGGTCATATCAGAACTTCATTCCTTTCCACGGCTGAATAATATCCATAGTATGGAGGCATCACTTTTATTTTATCTGTTCATGAATTGACAGACATTTGGGTGGTTTCCGATCGTTGGTAATGGCAAATAACGCTGCCATGAACGTTCATGTACAGGTTTTTGTTTGAACCCGTTTTCATTTCCTTTGGATGTTTAAGTTTTTGAGGAGCTGCCAAATTGATTTGCACAGCGGCTGCACATTTCACGTTCCCACCGGCAACGTATGAGGTTCCGATTTCTTCAAATCCATGCCGACGTTTGTTACTCTCCCCATCTTTTTTTTTTTTTTTTTTTCGGTCATCGATATCCTGGTGGGTAGGAATTGGTATCTCCTTCTGGCTTTGATTTACGTTCCCCTAACAGCTCACGATGTTGAACTTCCTTTCACGTGCTGGTTGGCCATCCGTACGTCTTTGGGAGGAATGACCGTTCAGTGACCACTTCCGCTGCTTGTGCTGCGTTGCCTGCCACTCACAGTAAACTGAGGACGGATGGGCCTTGAATGAAGGCCACAGCGAAGGCCCTGCTCTTCGAGTCACCCTCCTGGGGACTGTCTGGACTTAGACATTTCGTAAGTTAGGAAAGACAGACCGTTGGCGTTGCAGCGTCTGACCACGAAGGAGATCCAAAAAAAGGGTCAGCCTTCAGGGATCTCGGAGGCAGTGTCTCCGATGGGTGGAAATGTCACTCGAGCTGATGATGCAGTCCCTTATTCACACCTGTTCCTCGGTCCACGGCCCCCAAGAAGAAAAACGCACCTGAATTCAACCGATGAGGCTCACAGTGGGAGAGAAGGAGCCGGAGTGACCTTGCGAGGCAGAGGCCTCTGGGCCAGGTCGCTGTGCCATCGTTGTGGCTAACACTATCGAGCGTCCGATTGGTATTGATATTTTACGTGTTCAGACTGCGACTGTCCCATAAGTGTCGGGATTCTCCCACCCAGGGACTGTGGCTTGTGCTGTCTTCTCCGTGGCAGTCTGCAAACGCAACACAGTATGCCCGAAGGGGAAGGGGAGCTCACAGGCTGAGTGACGCCCCGGCTGCCAGAGGCCATTTCCCTATGCAGCAGCGCCACCTGCCTGAGGCAGCCACCAGGCACACAAGGCAACCTTGCGATGACACTCTCCATGGGACGGAAGGCCTGACCCTCGGAGACCTCATGAACCCTCCTTGCCTTGCCTCTCCATCGGCTCAGCCTCAACAGCCTGTAAGGTCTGAAATGGTCAA